ACACGGGTAATAACATACTAGACCTTGTGCTAACATCAGAAGAGTGTATAACTGATCAAAGTCAGGAAGGGTAAAAGTTCCCCCCCCCCCCCGTGTGATCACTATATTTTAAGATGGATTACGAAGAGAAACTCACATGAAGGTTCATGATGATGAATTTCTAGATTACCATAAAGGCGACTACCAAAGAATGAGAGAGGAACTACAAAACATCTCCTGGAGGGAGTTGATAGGTGAACATGACACGGAAGCGTCTTGGCCAAACTTTAAGGTCATCACAGAACTCGTTCAAAAATATGTGCCAAACAGGTGGAAGAAACGAAGGGGAACTAGATGGATGACTCCTGCAGTAAAACAACCTTTATAACTAAGAGGAACCTTTGGAGCATGTATACACCCAAGACGGACATCATTGATTATGATATATATATATATATATATATATATATATATATATATATATATATATATATATATATATATATATATATATATATATATATATATATATATAAAGGGCACTAAACTCAGCCACTCAGGAAATCAGATCAGCAATAAGGAACAACGAAAGAAAGCTTGTCCAAAACATAAAGAAAGATGTAAAGTCGTTCTATGCCTATATAAGAAGTAAACCCAAATCAAATAACTCAGTCGGACCTTTAGTAGATGAGACTAACCAACCTATAATGGATGACAAAATGGCGGCAAACACACTAAATTAATATTTAACATCAGTGTTCACACTCGAATATGTTGGATGACATCCCATCATCAACACAAATGTTTCAAGGAGGTGAAGAGAATTAATTTAGGAATATACCCAAAACAGGCGACATAATCAGGAAGAACATTGACAAACTAAAGATTCAAAAGAACTATGCCTACCACTGAAACTACTTTTTTACCAAATCTCTGGACCAAGATATAGTTCCCCTATATTGGTAATATGCAAATGTTACCCCCTATTAAAAAAAAGAAGACAAGGAAAGAGCTCAACAGAAAACTACCGTCCGATCAGATTTGCATCACACATCTGTAAGGTCACACATCTAAAAGGTCACACATCTGCAAAGTCACACACTCTGTAAGGTCACACATCTGCAAGGTCACACATCTGCAAGGTCACACATCTGCAACCTCACACATCTGCAACCTCACACATCTGCCAGGTCACACATCTGCAAGGTCACACATCTGCAAGCTCACATATCTGCCAGGTCACACATCTGCAAGTTTGGTTCAGTGAGCCTAAGTTCGTACTCCAAAATATTACATGACGTGAACGCAATAAACGTGTTGTAATACACTACAAGTTGCCAACTTTGCATCTACTAATGTTATGGTTTTAAAGAACCAGCACTTGGCTAATGAGTAACTTTACGTCAATACTTGTCCAAACTTCACCGTACAAAGTTTGTAATTATATATATTCCTTGGAAAATTAGCTGTGTATATTGGACTTCAACCCCTGGCACAACCTCTAGCACAACCCCTGGCACAACCTCGAGACCCCTGGCACAACCTCGAGCACAACCCCTGGCACAACCTCTAGCACAACCCCTGGCACAGCCCCTGGCACAACCTCGAGCACAACCCCTGGCACAACCCCTGGCACAACCTCTAGCACAACCCCTGGCACAGCCCCTGGCACAACCTCGAGCACAACCCCTGGCACAACCTCTAGCACAACCCCTGGCACAACCTCTAGCACAACCCCTGGCACAACCTCTAGCACAACCCCTGGCACAACCTCTAGCACAACCCCTGGCACAACCTCTAGCACAACCCCTGGCACACAACAACCTCGAGCACAACCCCTGGCACAACCTCTAGCACAACCCCTGGCACAACCTCTAGCACAACCCCTGGCACAACCTCTAGCACAACCCCTGGCACAACCTCTAGCACAACCCCTGGCACAACCTCTAGCACAACCCCTGGCACAACCTCTAGCACAACCCCTGGCACAACCTCTACCACAACCCCTGGCACAACCTCTACCACAACCCCTGGCACAACCTCTACCACAACCCCTGGCACAACCTCTACCACAACCCCTGGCACAACCAATGTCACAGCCCCTGGCACAACATCTGGCACAACCCCTGGCACAACCTCTAGCACAACCCCTGGCACAACTCTAGCACAACCCCTGGCACAACCTCTAGCACAACCCCTGACACAACCTCTAGCACAACCCCTGGCACAACCTCTACCCCTGGCACACAACCCCTGACACAACCTCTAGCACAACCCCTGGCACAACCTCTAGCACAACCCCTGGCACAACCTCTACCACAACCCCTGACACAACCTCTAGCACAACCCCTGGCACAACCTCTACCACAACCCCTGACACAACCTCTAGCACAACCCCTGGCACAACCTCTAGCACAACCCCTGGCACAACCTCTACCACAACCCCTGACACAACCTCTAGCACAACCCCTGGCACAACCTCTAGCACAACCCCTGGCACAACCTCTACCACAACCCCTGGCACAACCTCTAGCACAACCCCTGGCACAACCTCTAGCACAACCCCTGGCACAACCTCTAGCACAACCCCTGGCACAACCTCTAGCACAACCCCTGGCACAACATCTGGCACAACCCCTGGCACAACCTCTACCACAACCCCTGGCACAACCTCTAGCACAACCCCTGGCACAACCTCTAGCACAACCCCTGGCACAACATCTGGCACAACCCCTGGCACAACCTCTAGCACAACCCCTGGCACAACCTCTAGCACAACCCCTGGCACAACATCTGGCACAACCCCTGGCACAACCTCTAGCACAACCCCTGGCACAACCTCTACCACAACCCCTGGCACAACCTCTACCACAACCCCTGGCACAACCTCTACCACAACCCCTGGCACAACCCCTGGCACAACCTCTAGCACAACCCCTGGCACAACCAATGTCACAGCCCCTGGCACAACCTCTAGCACAACCCCTGGCACAACCTCTACCACAACCCCTGGCACAACCTCTACCACAACCCCTGGCACAACCAATGTCACAGCCCCTGGCACAACATCTGGCACAACCCCTGGCACAACCTCTAGCACAACCCCTGGCCCAACATCTGGCACAACCCCTGGCACAACCTCTACCACAACCCCTGGCACAACATCTGGCACAACCCCTGGCACAACCTCTACCACAACCCCTGGCACAACCAATGTCACAGCCCCTGACACAACATCTGGCACAACTCGTAGCACAACCCTTGGCACAGCTCATGACACAACCCCTGGCATAGCAAGTGGCACAACCTGTGACACAACCCCTGGCATAGAAACTGGCACAACCTGTGACACAACCCCTGGCACAACCCCTGATACCACTTCTGGCACATCCTCTGGCACATCCTCTGGCACATTCCCAAGCACATCCCTGACACAGTAGTGTAATTGTGGACAACGAGGAATTGTTTTGGTGTTTTAGATGATTCCTCGAAGGCGTACTTTTTTCCGATGACTGTATTCAAAGATTCCATACAAGTATGCTTATTTTAAGGTCATTTCCAAAGATTTTCTGTTGGCAAACTTATTTAGATGACCATATGCAATTCAATTTCTTTCTTTATTATGCACCCCATACCCATCCCGTGGGCGGTGGTGAAAAGGATTACAGAGGCACATAATCGGCTCAGGAACTGAACCCTCTAGTTCGTTTAGCTAAGCAAATAACAATCTTTTGACGCTAGTTACACAATTATTAATGTTATATACACATGTACACATACTCATTCATACATGTACATATATATACATATACATATACATATATAAATACACATACATACTTAATCACCTACAAAAATTGACACATCAATATTCTTTTGTATCACACGTGATTGAGCAAGAGGCTCACAACAGTCAATATACAAGGAACTTTACATCTATGGTGAGTCACACAGTTACTAGTCTTGCTCCACACCCACCCAACTGGGCGGCAGCTTTACAGTCATGTGCATGCATTACCTACAGTAAGCAAATTTTGGATACTTCGCTAAGATTTCGGGCAGCACATCATTATGAATGACCATAAGCAAAGATTGGTCATAGGCGTACTTTTTCGATGACCCAACTGAACCATAAAATTATGCTATATTTTGAAATTTGTTAAGGTAAGAATATATTATTCATTTAAATTATATGCAGCTCATCCTAAATATGTATATGGATCCTTGCACACATAATTTGAGGCACTGTATATCTTAAACCCACAATTTTTTTAAAAGTAAGTCAATTTGGAATAAAATGGACTGAATTTCAAGGTTAGGTGTGGTACCCTCTATCATCCTTTGCTTATGGTAATTGTTTGTAATGTATGGCAAGAACAAATAATAACATTTTCGTAACAATATGATGTAATTGTGAACCAGGAAAGATTAACGAAAATTAGGTTGTGTTGATGGTTATCAATGTCTGGATATTGTGAATATAAGACTTTCCTAAGAAGTGATGAAATTGAGTTCAGATTCAGGTATTAGAGGTTAGGTCAAGGAAGGTTGGGTTGTGTTGATATAAGGAAACTGTCCAATAATAACTTTCTAAGAATTTAGATGGAAAAAATTGCTTTATCCCAGGTATTAAAAGTTAGGTCAAGGTTGATTAGATTAAGTCGATGCAAGGTAAATGTTGAATAATATCCCTTTTCCTATATATGATTAGTTAGCCATATAGCATACAGAAGTTGACTGTGTATAGCCAAAACCTTTTTAATAGTTCAAGAGGAATGCTTCAGTATTTTATTGTATGGGGATGGCTAATAACATTAATTCCTGACACAACCTCTGACCAAAACCCCCCTGGCTCATTTCTGGCACAACCTCTGACACAACCCCTGGCATAACCCCTGGCACATTCCTGGCACAACCCATGGAACATCATGATGTAATCACGACAGACAACAGTCTAAGGAGTGGTGCTAGAGAGTGCAAGCAAGCAGGTGTTGACACACACTAACGTTGACATGTTGCAGGTGGCGGTGCGCGTCCGGCCCCTCACCTCAGAGGAGAAGAACAAGGGCTGTTACCGCATCACACAGCCTATCGACACCAAGGTGAGAGACAACTTCCTCTTGCAAATGGTTCTGGTGAGGAGTTCAGGTAAGACACTTTCTATTGCAACCGGTTCTGATGAAGTGTTCTAGGCGAGAGACATCCTTCTGTTGCAATCGGCAGTGATGGAAGGGTTCTCACTGAGAAACAACCTTCTATTGCAAACGTGTGTTGAAACAAGAGTTCCATGTAAGTGTCAACCTTCTGTTGCAACTGGTTCACATCAAGAGCGAACACTGCTTCTTAGAGGATTGAAGCATGTTTTTTGGGGGAATCTCAGTAGCCTGGTAGTTCCATAGTTGTACAGTAGTTCCATAGTTGTACAGTAGTTCCATAGTTGTACAGCAGTTCCATAGTTGTACAGTAGTTCCATAGTTGTACAGTAGTTTCATAGTTGTACAGTAGTTCCATAATTGTACAGTAGTTCCATAATTGTACAGTAGCTTCATAGTTGTACAGCAGTTTCATAGTTGTACAGTAGTTCCATAATTGTACAGTAGTTCCATAGTTGTACAGTAGTTCCATAGTTGTACAGTAGTTTCATAGTTGTACAGCAGTTTCATAGTTGTACAGTAGTTCCATAGTTGTACAGCAGTTTCATAGTTGTACAGTAGTTCCATAGTTGTACAGTAGTTCCATAGTTGTACAGCAGTTCCATAGTTGTACAGTAGTTCCATAGTTGTACAGTAGTTCCATAGTTGTACAGCAGTTCCATAGTTGTACAGTAGTTCCATAGTTGTACAGCAGTTCCATAGTTGTACAGTAGTTCCATAGTTGTACAGCAGTTCCATAGTTGTTAGTTCCTTAGTTGTACAGTAGTTCCATAGTTGTACAGCAGTTCCATAGTTGTACAGTTCCATAGTTCCATAGTTGTACAGTAGTTCCATAGTTGTACAGTAGTTCCATAGTTGTACAGTAGTTCCATAGTTGTACAGTTCCATAGTTGTACAGTAGTTCCATAGTTGTACAGTAGTTCCATAGTTGTACAGTAGTTCCATAGTTGTACAGTAGTTCCATAGTTGTACAGTAGTTCCATAGTTGTAGTTCCATAGTTGTACAGTAGTTCCATAGTTGTACAGCAGTTCCTTAGTTGTACATAGTTGTACAGTAGTTCCATAGTTGTACAGTAGTTCCATAGTTGTACAGTTTCATAGTTGTACCATAGTTGTACAGTAGTTCCATAGTTGTACAGTAGTTCCATAGTTGTACAGTAGTTCCATAGTAGTTCCATAGTTGTACAGTAGTTCCATAGTTGTACAGTAGTTCCATAGTTGCAGTTCCATAGTTGTACAGTAGTTCCATAGTTGTACAGTAGTTCCATAGTTGTACAGTAGTTCCTTAGTTGTAGTTCCATAGTTGTACAGTAGCTTAGTTGTACAGTAGTTCCATAGTTGTACATAGTTTAGATGTACAGTAGTTCCATAGTTGTACAGTACAGTTTCATAGTTGTACAGTTCATAGTTGTAGTAGTATAGTTGTACAGTAGTTCCATAGTTGTACAGTAGTTCATAGTTGTACAGTTCCATAGTTGTACAGTAGTTCCATAGTTGTACAGTAGTTCCATAGTTGTACAGTAGTTCCATAGTTGTACAGTAGTTCCATAGTTGTACAGTAGTTCCTTAGTTTCAGTAGTTCCATAGTTGTAGTTAGTTGTACAGTAGTTCCATAGTTGTACAGTAGTTCCATAGTTGTACAGTAGTTCCATAGTTGTACAGTAGTTCCATAGTTGTACAGTAGTTCCATAGTTGTACAGTAGTTCCATAGTTGTACAGTAGTTCCATAGTTGTACAGTAGTTCCATAGTTGTACAGTAGTTCCATAGTTGTACAGTAGTTCATAGTTGTACAGTAGTTCCATATAGTTGTACAGTAGTTCCTTAGTTGTACAGTAGTTCCATAGTTGTACAACAGTTCCATAGTTGTACAGTAGTTCCATATAGTTGTACAGTAGTTCCATAGTTGTACAGCAGTTCTTAGTTGTACAGTAGTTCCATAGTTGTACAGTAGTTCCATAGTTGTACAGCAGTTCCATAGTTGTACTTAGTTGTACAGTAGTTCCATAGTTGTAGTTCCATAGTTGTACAGTAGTTCCATAGTTGTACAGCAGTTCCATAGTTGTACAGTAGTTCCATAGTTGTACAGTAGTTCCATAGTTGTACAGTAGTTCCATAGTTGTACAGTAGTTCCATAGTTGTACAGTAGTTCCATAGTTGTACAGTAGTTCCATAGTTGTACAGTAGTTCCATAGTTGTACAGTAGTTCCATAGTTGTACAGTAGTTCCATAGTTGTACAGTAGTTCCATAGTTGTACAGTAGTTCCTTAGTTGTACAGTAGTTCCATAGTTGTACAGTAGTTCCTTAGTTGTACAGTAGTTCCATAGTTGTACAGTAGTTCCATAGTTGTACAGTAGTTCCATAGTTGTACAGTAGTTCCATAGTTGTACAGTAGTTCCATAGTTGTACAGTAGTTCCTTAGTTGTACAGTAGTTCCATAGTTGTACAGTAGTTCCATAGTTGTACAGCAGTTCCATAGTTGTACAGTAGTTCCATAGTTGTACAGTAGTTCCATAGTTGTACAGTAGTTCCATAGTTGTACAGTAGTTCCATAGTTGTACAGTAGTTCCATAGTTGTACAGTAGTTCCATAGTTGTACAGTAGTTCCTTAGTTGTACAGTAGTTCCATAGTTGTACAGTAGTTCCTTAGTTGTACAGTAGTTTCATAGTTGTACAGTAGTTTCATAGTTGTACAGTAGTTTCATAGTTGTACAGTAGTTCCATAGTTGTACAATAGTTCCATAGTTGTACAGTAGTTCCATAGTTGTACAGAAGTTCTTTAGTTGTACAGAAGTTCTTTAGTTGTACAGAAGTTCTTTAGTTGTACAGTAGTTCCTTAGACTGTTCCATAGTTGTACATCAGTTCCCCCTCTCCCTCCCTCTCTCCCCTATCCTTCCCTCCCCTCTGCTCCCTCCTCTCTCCCTTCCCCCGCATAGTAACTTGTAAGCTACACCATGTACTTCATAACAGAACATTGCAAACAACATATTGTGCGCGAATAGCCAAAATTTGCTATAATTTATTATCCAAATATTGTTTGACATGTCTTGGAATGGCTGGCATAAGTGGGGAATACAGTTACTGTTTTAATTCAGGTGAAAATATCTTTGCCTTTATGGACTGTTTGTGTTGACAAACCTTTATTCGGGTCGAAGGGAAAGGATTAGGTACACTTTAGGTCAGGGTTGGACTGCTTGGAAAGCAAAGGTTAGGAGAGGGTGTGTTAGGTTAAGATGTGCATAAAATATTGGATAGATAGTGTATATGGAAAATATATATGGGATAAAAAGTTATATGAAGGATGTAAGTGATAACAAAATGAGGCATGGTAGATAGAATATATATTGCACCTGGATAGTACCGATATGGGGTTTTGAGAGTTCTTCTACTCCCTCAACCACGGCCCGGGGCCAGGCTTGACTTGAAGGATACAATATATTGAAAATATATATTGGAGGATACAATATTTGAAGATACGAACAGATAGACAATTTCGACAATTTAAGGAAAACAATCGAATAGGGATAGAGATCTAAATATATTAAGAGGAATAACTTTAAGAAGATGAATGTACTATCTTATCTTGAGGTTATCTTGAGATGATTTCGGGGCTTTTTAGTGTCCCCGCGGCCCGGTCCTCGACCAGGCCTTCACCCCCAGGAAGCAGCCCGTGACAGCTGACTAACACCCAGGTACCTATTTTACTGCTAGGTAACAGGGGCATAGGGTGAAAGAAACTCTGCCCATTGTTTCTCGCCGGCGCCTGGGATCGAACCCAGGACCACAGGATCACAAGTCCAGCGTGCTGTCCGCTCGGCCGACCGGCTCCCCACTGAAGACAATTTATGGGCCTCCTACCCTGGCCAACTGTCAGTGCTACGGGAGCATGTGGAGAGTATCTATGGTGTCTGGCAGAGTATCTTTGATGTCTCGGAGAGTATCTTTGAAGTCTCGGCGAGTCCGTTTGATATCTTGGTGAATATCTTTGATATCTCGAATAGTATTTTTGATCACTTGGAGAGTATCTTTGATGTCTGGGAGAGTATCTTTGATGTCTGGGAGAGTATCTTTGATTTCTGGGAGAGTATCTTTGATACAAATGAGGAGTCACAATAACGTGGCTGAAAAATGTTGAGCAAACCTCACACTAGAAAGTGAAGAGACGGCGACGTTTCGGTCCATCTTGGATCATTCTCAAGTCGATTGTGAGAATGGACGATTCAAGTCGATTCACAATCGACATGAGAATGGTCCAGAACGGGCTGAAACATCGTCGTCTCTTCACTTTCTAATGCGTGGTTTGATCAACAGTATCTTTGATGTCTGGAAGAGTATCTTTTATGTCGCTGTGAGTATCTATGATATATCGGAAAGTATCTCTGATGTCTCAGAGAGTATCTTTGATGTCCGGGAGAGTAGTATCTTTTATGTCTTGGAAAGTAACTTTGATGTCTTAAAGATTTTTTTGATGACTGGGAGAGTATCTTTGATGTCTGGTAGAGTATCTTTTATGTATCGGACAATATTTTAGATGTCTGGGGCTGGGAGTGTGGGGGGGGGGGAAGGTGTGGATGTAAGGGTGGATTTCGGGGGTGTGAAGGGGGAAGGTGTTGGTGTAAGGGGTTGAGCTAGGTGTGTGAGAGTAGTGAATAACGAGACAAATCGTGAATTGATCTTCAGATCCAATTGGGACCTTCCATGCCGACTCGACTCCTGTGGGCCAAATCGAGCAAAAGTTAATTTAAGGGGTTGGGTCAGGATGCACTCGGCGCTCACCTGGCTAGCTGGTGGGGTCGGGATGTGTCCTTGCCCCCCGGGTCCCCCCACCCACCACCGGGGGCGAGCCTGTGCGACTCATGCCCGAACCCAACCGGATTTTTTCACGATTTGTCGCGAAGCCGTGGCGTGAGTACTAGGCATCAATATGGGGCCCCTACTTATGAATGGTA